GCCTAATTTTGTAATCAGGTTTGTTGAAAATGTTTCTTGTTTAAATCAGTTGAAATCCTTCCTTCACTCCCCTCTCAAACCATCTATCTATGTAAAAAGAGAGAAACCATCTTTAAACAGAGGAGGAGGTCTAATATTTCAGCGGTCAAAAACTTATAATGGAGCTTTAGGCCTTGTTTTTAAGAAGGCAATGCAAGTTTACTGCTTTGTAGGCCTGATACCCAGTCACTTTCACTCCAATCAGGAACTTCATTCATGTGACCAGAGTGGCCCATCTGTGAGTCAGACTAACAAAGACCCTAACGAACCTCTATTGTGAGAAGTGAGAGGGCAAGCGAAACATCTTCAGTTACAAGTCCAGTTTCGTTTTTACCCTTTTTTTGGATTGTTGTACGTTCTACTGCATTTTTGAGAAAAACAATAGTAGACGAGCATAATGTAGGCAGAAATTAGAACGTTAAAAAAAGTATATATACAGTATTGCAATTCTGTTTTTCCCATAACCAAAAGTTTATAAGCACAACAGAAAGGTTGGTTTTTGTAAAATATTTGAGTCTTATTTTCCAATAGAGCAAAAAATTATTAAAGGAAAGAATATTCAGTTTGACACTGGCTCACCAGATAACATGGTTTTTGCTCCAAGGTGTGTTTATGTGAACATGATGTAAATTTAACAACCATTCAGTTTCTAAACGTCTCTGATACAGAAACATTGCTGACAAAAGTAAATACAGCAACAGTCTGAACATTTAAAAAACTTATCAATTTGTTCACTTTTTAAAATCTTATTTAAAAGTCAGATCTTAAAATATAGTTTTACCATCTGTTGAAAACTGAGGTCCTGTTTACATGACCACGATCCAATGAAAACAGGACCCCCCCCCCCCATTTCTATTAACACATTTATATGAAACCATTCTAATTAATCTGTTTACACAGCAACGGTAGACGTGAAAAAGGTGTAATTCCCTCAACACACCACTAGTTGGTGCTGTTTTTTGACACTTGAAACTTAAGTGCACATGCATAAAAAAAAAACGTTCTACCTGAAAGCTGCTACAATGATCAAGATGGCAGAGAATAAAATTTCTATGGACAGACAACGAGGTTCAGCTGTTGCTTAGGGTGACTTTGAATTATAAAGCCACCAAATTAAGTAAGAGAGTGGAGCTGTACGAGATCAGTCTTCGATTTAAGTAAAGAGGTAGAAAATGAGCACTGTGTTGGAGAGTCCTAGTTGGATTTAGAAGAGTCAGAAGCACAAACAATACTCTGGTATCCGCCATTGTTGATAGTTTCTTCTTCTGTGGATTGTAGGAAGCTGCTGTATTTTGCGTCATACTGCGCATGAGCCAGGGATTCCCTGACAGAAAAGACCAATTTTTTCTGTTTACACGACAACGGGACGTTTTTGTACCATTGCACTCTGGAACCCATTCTCAAATTGTGCCGTTGTCAGAGAAAACATTCTCTATTTTCATGTAAATGAACAGTACAAACGCAATGAAACTCTTCCATTTTCACCAGACGTCGTTTTCATGTAAACGGGGCCTGAGAGTAGTAAGAGTTTTACTTATGTCTCATATTCTGAGGTTGGTGGTTCATATGTAACCCAGTTACAACCCAACTCACAATGACTACATTTGGAGAATTTGGTTTAATATTGTTTAAACTTTCTCATTTTAATACCCTAAAATTAGATCTTAAAAAAACAAAACAAAAAACCCCCACCTAAGTACTGAAATCATTCAATATAATCCATTTTTCATTAATAATTAAAATGGCGTTATCATTGCTGCCTTCAATCTCTCGAACCATTTTGTTACAAAGAACATTTTAGAAACCTTTTGGAAGAATACTTGGTGTTTGTAATATCAATTTATAACAAATGACTTCTAAATTAGTAGTGTTTTAATCTATGATCTAATCTAAATACTAAAGCTATAGTATTATAAATAGAAGTCTTAATAATAATAATAAGATTTCTCTCATTTAAATGTCTGTTTATACAAACTGTTCATTTGAAACACTTGCTAGGTCTGTTCTGAAGGAGGAACTGACCCAGCCCTTTTTCATTTTTGTGTAATTTGAATAAAAACAATTGCACAATGCACCTAATTTTTCTCCTTTGACTTCTAAACATCACAATCAAATCTCTTTATTTACGGACTGCAGTGGAGGGGTTAGAATCAAAGGAATCTAGCTGTTTTTCCTAATAAAATTAGGAAAATGTTTATTATGGTTAGATTTTAAGGCTGTAAATTAATTTTGTTTGTTCAGTTGTACTGGTTTTCTACACATCGACTCCAAATGAAATAAAAGACCAAACCAAAATGTCAGCGTACATCAGTTTGCAACCACTTTGCAAACATTTATAACCATTTTATTTAAAAAATATATGTTTTGAGGGGACAATATTTTTTTTCTTTTCAGTTTGGCACATCTTATCCACTATACAGATATGAAATTGTACATTTTACAATACGAAAGGAAAACGGGGAAGAGAGCATTCATTTTTGCACAAAGAGTTTGAAAATGAGAGTAGGGATTAGTTTTTTTTTTCATAGCTTTTTTTTTTTTTAAGCAGGGTGAGATTAAGGGCTAGAAGATGACGAGAGGAAACAAAATTGTTTACAAAGAGCCAAAGTGCAAAGGGATGCATAATTCTACAAATTTTGTGGATTTTCAGTCACTTGGTACAACTGTAGTCTTAAACAGTGAAATGTCATGATTTGCTGTACTCTCTTGGTGCTCCGTGTACATCCTCAGTCTGTATCAAAAGTTGGGTCTCTCAATAACGCCTCCTGAATAAAATTAAGAAATATTCAACTCAATGACATATTTTTATTTATTTTTTTGAACATGCAAGATAGAAGGGCAGTAGTAAAAGCAGTGTGAAGCTGGAATTCTTTAAAAATAAAGTAAAACTGCTTGGGGTTGAAACTGACTGACTGTCTGCAATGGTTTTTAATGTAATCTGAACATGAAGTGGAACAATTTTTGGTTTACATATGCACTTTGTTTTGTAGGCATCTTATGAGCACCTGCTGACACACTGACATGTAATCATTCATGTCAAACTTTGAAGCCAAATTTTGACAAACTTTAAAAAATAAAAAAATAAAATCAGAGCCACAAATGTTTACCTCTGGATTTTATCCACAAGATCTGTCTCCGAATAACGCATTTCACTTAACGTGTCGTGATAAACATCTTGTAATCTTGAGGGCTAACTTTTGATGTGCAAGCAAAAGCTAGAAAGAAATGTTGGAAATGGTTAAATGACAGAATTTCCCTTTTCTTTTCCTCTTTAAGAATTTGTTAGAATTTTCTTTAGTGTAAACATTTGGATATAGCTCATTAGCTGACTAGTTGTGAAACCATTGCTACCGTGTCCTCAATCATTTAAAGCCCAACCAACTATCATCTATTCCTTTGTAGACTAAAAGTATTTGGCCAGATAATTATTTCAATAAACTTAATTCATTTTTGTGCTCCATCTTCATGCTATCAATTCTCCTCCATCCCTCTTACTTTTACCCTGCCCCCCACTACTAAATTGAACGCAGAGTGGGAAGCTGCAGCAGCAGCTTCAGACTGATGCTAATGCACATCCACTCCCTTCTGCATACAAATGTGTCCTGACCGAAGCTCGCTGTTTGCTTATCACTAGATCTCCATTTGCTTTCAGGGTATTGATCACGGTTTAGCCTGACTCTTGTTAGTCAAAAGATGAAAACTGACATATAAAAATGATTTCTTTAAAATCAATATTTCAAATTGAAAGTGAGATTTTATTTAAAATATACCCTTAAATAAAAATAAGTGTTTTTTTGCTGCGGTAGGAATGATGATTTTACAGCTATTTTTGCGTGGTGGAAGAGCTAAATGTTGCTGGATCACTGGTGTTGGTGACGGAATATCAGATTCTTTTTGCCTTGCCTTAATTGGTTCAATCTTGAACCTGTCAGTCTTGATTAGTGTGTAAGCTGTAAAGACTATGAGCTTCTGGGAAAGGTTTTATTTTCAGCATAAACTGTTCTGACATTTGCACTGTTCATTACCCTTTTACTTGCGTATAACACAAGTTTGTCTATAATTGATTCTGGTATGGCAAATCAGCAAATTATGCTTAATTAGGGATAGCTCAAATATATAATGGTCACAGTTTAAATGGCCTTTAGAAAATGTAATCCATAAACTGATAATTGTACATTAAAGGTCGTATAAATGTTTGTGTCCGATGTGAAAGTGACATCCATGAGTTTTTACCAGTATAGACTGGAGATTAACCAGAGCTGAGCACAACTTGGTGTGTCCTGCAGGTTGAGGTTTATTTGTGGTGGCTGTCCATCAAAGGCAAGAGCTCAAATGTTTAATGCCTTGTAGGCTACAAATCAGCACTGATTTCACTTTAATTAAATGCTGATTAAATGAATAATTTGATTCCATTCCTTACTATACACACGTTTAGCTACATGTCTACCTGACAAAAACTTAAAAGAAAAAATAATAGTCCAGATGTATTTGAAAAACAAAGCTTTTTATCTGGTGTAAGATTATCAATTTAATTGATCCAAAACTTTATTTGGCAAGTCTTTTAAGGTTTAATGATTATTCTCCATGAAACGATTCACCAAAAGATATGACCTTTAGTTTGACTTTAGTCTTGTTACCCATCGTTGTATTCTCTAGAAACAATCGAACAACATAACACTGTTAATTTGTTAAATTGTTTTACTGTTGAGTGACTGGCACTCAGTGCCTCAGGTGCAGTTAGAAATGCAATTTCAAATCATTACCTTTTTGGATGAAATGACGTATCACATCCCCCTCTTATGTATTCTGTTAGCAGAGGGCCAATAGGCCCAATAGTTTAAATGTGCTGCAGAATATAGACAATGTAGAGACAAATCTCACAGTTTACAATTTTCTTAAAATGATTGCCCCTGGCTGATATGAACAACCTTTCTTTCATAGAAAAATAAATTTGTGACTCTCTCTACATCATTCTTTTACTGTCCAACCTCTTATCTTTGTAGCATTAGGCATTTGTCACATATTCTCATTTCTCACTTGTAGAAATTAGGGTTTTTACATAAACTGAAAACAAATAAAAAAAGCAAACCCTGTATCTTCTGAAATGGTCAAATGACAAACCTTTACAGCCAAGGAATAAATAAGAGTTCATACTTCACACTCTTTGTAAGGCAGTTGCTGACACTTGCACTGCCCATAGCCATTGATGATTACAAGTGCCCCTTCTTCATGGCTGGGCTCATACTCATTATAGGGTACCTGTGTGGCTAGGTCTGCCATTGGCTGTCGCTGCTGGGTCCTCATCTGTCTGCGGTTCTGAATAGCTGAACAGTGACGTATCCGCCGCAGGGTGGGAGGGCAGCACTTCCGTGAGATATACACAACAAAAATGATGAAAAAGAATGAAAACAGTAGGGCCATAGTTCCAATGATAACCCTATGAGTCATGACAGTGTTGTCCAAAGCTGATAAGTCCTCTGTTACAGCTGCCTCTTCCAGCAAAGCAGTAGTTGCTTGAGCAGTGTGTGGTGTTTGTGTTGTGGTTGTGGTGGTAGTGACGATGGTAAAGCTCCCAAATTCCACTGCATAGTCCTGCGTAGGGGTTGGCTGCATAATTCCAAACAAGGAGCTCGTCATCTCTGAAGCCGTTGACATGTCTGTGGTTGTACTCATGGTCTGAATGACAGGTGCTGAAAAATTCTGGCAGAGCTGGAATCCATAAACGGCATCTAGTATCTCCTCACCTTGAGCATATTCAGGACTGTGGCAGAGAATGGAGTGTTCCCACCTTCCCTTAAAGGTGCTTAGCCATGTGGCCAGAGAGCAGATCCTTTTGGTACATTCCCAAAAGTTGCTGGACAGCCCAATTGTACTCAAAGACTGCCACATGTTCAAAACTTGGGGCTCCAGGCTGCTTAGTTTGTTGTTATCCAGTAGCAAAATTTTTAAATTTGGCAGCGTTTGAAACACATCAGGTGTCAGAACACGAATTTCATTTCCTGTGAGGTCCAGCTTCTCTAAAGTTGTCCAGGTCCATTCCATGCCACAAGTTACGTTGTTGATCTTATTCCATTGCAGATACAGAAACTGGAGAGCAACGAGGCGAGGGAAATGGGCCAAGTTGATCTTAGTCAGCTGATTGTGCTCCAAGTGGAGCTCTTTAAGTTTAATGAGCCCAGCAAATCCATTTCGGGCCAGACTTCTTAGACGGTTGCTACTCAAGCCCAGGTATTCCAGGCTCCGGCAGTCCCAGAATGCCCGAACGGGTGTAGTACGAAGTAAATTTGATCGAAGGTGAAGTATCTGAAGCTTCCTCAGTCCATGAAACAGTTCTGGTTCCAGTGAAGTCATCTGATTGAAGGAGAGGTCCAGTATCTGAAGATTGATGAGGTGAATGAAGGTTGTGTTGGGCAACTTGGTGATTCGATTGGAGCTCAGATTGAGATCCTTAAGTTTATAGAGGCCTTGAAAGGCGTCCTCTTGGACTGTGGTGATCTGGTTGTGGTCTAGATGCAGCCAGGTGAGTTGACTGAAACCATAGAACTGATCAGGGGAAAGCTCAGTGATGCTATTGTGGCGTAGTGACAACCCCAGGGCGCCCTTGTCCACACCATCTGGCGGTGCCTTAAGCCCCTGGGTGTCGCAGTAGAACTGCAGGTCCTCACAGCGGCATTTTTGAGGGCAGGTTGTGCATGATGCAGGAGACAGCACGCACGCTAGGAGCATACTGATCACACTCACAGCCACTGGTGCAGGTCCCACCAATGGCCACCTTGAATGGAAACCTGGGTCGGTTCAAAGACAAGAAAATGAATTTTGGGGCGAGAAAACTAATCTCTGCAGAGCAATTATCACTAAGTCATGGTGGCAATTGTGCCGTTAGTCTCTCTTCTGCTTTTCTCATTCTCAAACGTTTAGCATTTAACACTTTCAACTTTTCACAATTTATGTAAACATGTATTGGATCACAAGTTAAGTAAATGGTTTCTAGAATCTAGTGATTTATACACATGATCCGGACTTGGTTTTCTTATTACTAATCACATTTAGCCTTCGTTTTCATTTTGTGCTTTTATTTTCTCTTCTAATGTCGGTCTGTTTTTCAGTATGAGACTCTAAAATACACTTTAATTTTCAGAATTTAAAAAGGCTTTTCATTTTTGCTGTTTTGGATGTCCTTTGTGGAAAACCAAATGGAATTTTTTAATGCACATCTTCCCAACTCGTGTCAGGGTAGACGAGGAAAAAAAGACTATTGCAGTAAATGGACAAGGCAGAAGAGCTTTTAGTCCTCAGCCTCCCTCACTCTTGTATTCCCTATTCATGTCCAGACCTGCCATAAAAAGGGCTAACTTACCCATTCTTTTGTGCACATCGGAGGCTGCATTCAACTGTCCTTTTCCAAAGACTCTTGGAGCAACCAGATGGAAAAGAAATCCAAAGGGGAAAAGCCCTTTTGAGTAAACACAAAAGGAATCAGCCTCTTTTGAGATAAATCAATTCTGAACCCACCCAGTTGAAATAAAATATTAAATTCCATGTCCGAAGATCACGTTATTCCTTTAATTTTGTCCAGAGTTCATTAAAATCCAAGCTTAACCCTTTTTTCTTGAACAAATCCTTGATTTAAAAAAAAAAAAAATTAAGTTGATCAGTTTGATCCAGAGCAACTCCAGTTAACAGCTCCCTCTTCTCTTCTCTTTTTTTTTTTCTTTAACCTTTCTTTTCACCTCCAACGCAGTGACGATTAATTGAAGATCAAGCGCATGTCTCTCACGGCTGTGGTCGCCCAACCTTAACTTGTTGATGGCAGCCAGAGATCCTGCCTTTGACGCCGGCTCAGTCTCAGCGTAGCCTCTGCAGAGCTGTAAGCGGAACCCTCATCTGGTAGCTGAGACGCAGGGAGAGAGGAAAAAAGCAAAGCAGGGAGTCGAGGATGTTGTTCTGTGCTTTTTGTTGCAGCCACTCACTGCTGCAGAGTGGTGGCAGCCTGGCGTCGATCATCACCACGGTTTCTCTCTCTCTTCTTTTCTCTCCCACACACACACACAGCCTCTTGCTCTCCCGCTCGCTCACTTGCTCTCTGCCTCAAACGCAGTTCTTGTGCACCTCAGTCTTCCTCCACCTCCCTCTTGCTTCCCCTTTTCCCTCCCACTGGCTCGTCACCGTCAGAATATTGATAATACGAACGTGTTGCCGCAGCTTGCTGTTGAAATTAACCACAGCTGTAAATCTCAGCGTCGTCTTGTTGTTGTTCTGCAGACACTTTGTACGTTGCAAACAAAATGGGAAAACAAAATATATTGTAAGTTGGAGTTGGAGACAGGAAGATGAGGATGGTCTGCTGCATTGCCTTATCTATACAGAAGCTTTAGCACAATGAATATTTAGAAAACGTTATTGTTAAATGCAGAACTATCTTTTTCCACTTTTTTTTGGCCAGCTGTTCATTGGCGTAAAATAAAAGCAGCTAATGTTTTTAAATGAAGCTGTTAAAATTACCTTAAAAGCTGACAATAGTGTTTAAACTGTAAAAAGACTACTTGTGGTTTCAAAAGACTTGCAGAACATTTACTGACTGAATTAATTGTTTTAACACGTTTACATATTAGCTTATTTAAGATATGAAGTTTTTCCTTCCTTGGCACCTGTTTCACTGAACATCTGTCTATTAAATCCAACCTCTGGATTCTGAAGCTTTCTAGAGTCTTTGCTTCATAAGTTTTTATCAATTCATGAATTATTACTGTGATCAAATGTAGCTTGAAAATCCTGTTGAACCGTTTACAGTTGTTGTTAAATAAAAGCATAAAAATAGATTGTAACTTATGCCCTTTAACTGTTGATGGCAGTAAAATAATGGAGTGATTTTGTTTTTTAAATTGCTCTATTTTCTCGTGTTTTTGTAGCTTTTTTTTATTGACATCAGTTCCTACTTGTAAAATAAAACCCATCTGGCTGTGACTTTGTGGGTCACTTGATTTGCATGCTTCTGTTATTTTCTACATATATTCTTGTAGCCTGCATTTCCCACTTGGATTCCCTTGCACGATGTGAGAGGTGAATATATGAGAAAATGGGGGAAAGAAAGTTAAACCTGTGGGGAATATTCACCTCTATTTTTGAGCTGGATTGGTTTTCTTAGTTTAGTTTAGGATGTTTAGAAAGCAAATGTGAAACAATTAAATGTTATTGATGGGTATTAAATAATCTAACTTGATGCATTATTGAAAGATAATACTTCTGGATTTTGATCACACCTTTTTTTTTTTTTTTTTTTAATTCTCACACAAAAAATTTCATGGCGTAATAATTGAAGTGAATTTTACTAAATCTGTCCTAAAGGAGATGGATAGAAAGACTCACCTGAGTATCATAAAGATGTGGCACAGAAACTGCCTCTATAATGAGCACCTGAAGAAGAGCTTTGAACCCTCCGGTGTGGAAATGAAATATAGGCTAGGCATGGATGAAATGGGATTGAGCCAGTCTGGGCAAAGAGGGCTAAACCTCTCTGCAGCTCTGCATCCAAAGCACACAAAATCACGGGGGATTTGTGCTTTTGGCGCTCTCTGGCCCTCAACTATGTGCAAAAACTTCCCTGCCCCCACCCCAATGGGCAAAGGGCAGCGGGGGATGGGGTAGGTCAGTGCCACCACTATCCATGATGTTCCATTTAAACATTTAAACATTTTTTGTCCCCTATCCTGTTCTTGTTCTGATTTTGCGCTTACATTTTCAGATTGTGTGCGTCTCTACCTCCGTGTTTTCACTCTGTCCTCCATCTCTTCCTGTTTCCTGAAAGTTTTACAGTTTCAGGTTAAACGTGAGCGTTAGGTCGACTGTGACTGAGCATTTCTTTTTCCTCTCAGTAGGATGCTGTGGTTCGAGCTGCGACTCTGCACGCTTCATGGTGCGACTCCTGCCTATAGTGTTAAATGTTACTGTACATAATTTACACAGTTAACCAGCTGTACTTAATTGTTTCATTCAGAACACTTTCTCTGAGAACTACACATGCAGGGCAGAGACTAGGCTTTTCTCCATCTTTCTTCCCAATGGGGCTCCGTTGTAGTCACAGCTGTTTTTTATGTATGATCAAGCAATGGACCATCTCCATAGCTCTGTGAATATATTCAAATATATGTTTTTTCATAGTTGTGCTTTTCCATTTTCACGTTTCCGGAAATGGTGGCTATTTCCATTTCAAGCATTTAGATCTGTGAAAATACTTCCATCAATCTCTAATGTTTCATGGAGAGAGCACATCATTTTGAACATTCTGCCGTGATTGTCAGCCCGTCTGCCTTTCTACAACATGCTTGACGTGTTTCTGCTTGACAACAATGTTCCAAAGTCACCTCTGTCGCTGCCCTTTTCTGTCGCTCTTTCAGTCATGCACATCTTTTTATTAATTGGATGTAAGGGTGCCCGAAAGGGCTACACAGACACCATTCTGTAACTGCTGGCAGTTTTTGAGTAACAGTCACATGTCACTTTGAACAACTTTGTATCCAGAACATATCGTGACATTACACAGCACCAGTCATGATCTGGTGGTTATAACAGATGAGTGACAGCAGTTGTCACCAGGCAAAGTCTTTGAAGCTGAGGTGGCAGGAGTACAGAATGGTTCCCCCCCCCCACACACACACACACACACACAGACCATGTATTCCTTCCCCTTACTTGAACAGAAAGGTTTTTTTGTTTTTAAGTTTTGCTTGTCCCCCCCCCCTGTTTGTTAGCCCCCCCCCCCCCCCCCAAGTGTTTTTTATTCTAATAGGAAGCAGATTTAGTATTTTTGTGCATGTCAAAACCTAAAACAGCATTATCGAGGCGTAAAGAAGTAACGTTTTGCAGCAAAATATCCGGTACCCCGTTAAGATCTGATGCAAGATTGGTTAAAACATGCACAATAAATTAATTTTCTTAAATATTTTATTAGAATATAAA